GCAGTTCATTGAACAGTAACCTCCTTCTTCACGTTCTCTCTCCCCCTTTTTTTTTCCCCAAAGGAGATCGAAGCTTAATTATAGCATCGCCATTTGCAATGCTATCATTAAGATTGTGTCAGCACTTCCAACATAAATTGCGTATTTTCAAGGGTTTATTACTTAAACATAAAGACCAGCTCCATTTTGAAATTTAGGGTGTCAGATCTTAATCTAAGAGAACCAGAAAATATAGATTCTTAATGTTAGAAAAGGTCTTGTGCCAAGGTGTTTCAGTCATGTCCGACTCTGTGATCCTATGGACTGTAGACTGCCAGGCTCCTCTGTCCGTGGGATTCTCCAGGTAAGCATACTGGAGTGGGTTGCCATGCCCTCTTCCAGGGAATCTTCCCGACCCAGGGATCAAACCCATGTGTCTTTCATCTCCCGCATTTGCAGGTGGGTTCTTTACTACTGGCGCCATATGGTGTCTTATATGTACTCAATTTATATCTGATCTCTGAATACTAGTATATATTTTATGAATCAGGGTGTTTTTTTTTTTTTGCGTATTTCTAAGAAAAGACCCTTTTGCCCAGTGTCTCTCCAACTTTAGCATGCACAGGCAGGACTTGTTATAGCAGATGGCCTGGCCCCACCCCAAGCTTTTGATTCAGTATGGGGCTGAGTTTACATTTCTAAAAAGTCCCCAGATGCTGCTGTTTCTGCTGGCACAGGTACCACACTTTGACAACCACTACATTAGTATTTACTATAAATGAGAATCAGAAACAAAACTCCAAACCACAAAACCACATATCTTATAGGTTAGGGTCATTGATTTGTATTTAAAAGAGCAGATCCAAAGCCACTTAGTAAACAAAGTGTCCCTTACAGAAACTCACCCCATAACCCTCTTCTCTCTAAAAGGCAGTTACTCTTTTCCAGTCAGTTCTTTAAAATAAAAGAGAAATTAAAAACCAAATATATACTTGATAAAGCACTGCAATTTAAAATGAAATGTTCTTTTTTATTTTACTTTGCAAGTCTCTTTTCCAATGAGCTGAGTGCCCTTTGGAACATTTTCTTATTCTCTATATAAGTTCCCCTTCCCCAGCACTACCTGTCTTTACTTATATGGTATATTTGAAATGACTAACACATTCCCGATTTTATAGATATAGAAATGGTTATAGAATATAAATAATTTGCCCAAGATCATGGAGATTTTCTGGTAATGATAGAGACATCTTTCTGGATGCTCATTTTTCTGATTTATAATCCATATTTTACATATTTATAAGTGGAAATATCCTGTACATTATACTTAATTCCAGGTCTTTAGTGATTGCTTCATTGCAATGCCATTTGCTATAGAATAAGACAAGTTAAGGAAACTGGAGAATAATTCATCATTTATATCCCAAATCCTTTTAGAAGAATGTGGGATCATGAATAAACAATAACAAAATCATCCCCATCCTCTTAGAAACCACATTTCAATTAGCCAGGTGCATCATACTACATATTTAATAAATAAGATAAATTTGGGATAGTGGAAAAATTCAGCAGTGATTCTGGGAGCACACTCGTGAGTGAGGGAAAGGAACTTTCCTTCAGCCTAATTCAAGTTAGCGAATTAAAGATCTGAAAAGTATTGATACAAGAAAGTTTTCTTGATTAATAACATAATGAGATCCAGATGCCTAAAGTTCAACATCTTCAGAGTTCTGTGGTTGTGTCATATGTAGAAACACAGAAGTCCCTGACAATGACCTTACTGATTATACTAGTCGGATAGGCTGAATTATGCTGCAGTAACAAAATCAATAAACAAGACAAACTCAGTGTCACAGAGTTTCCTGCTGATGTAAAGTCTATTGTGGGTCCAAGTGAACCTCCAGGGCAATGGTCCTCCACTTAGCAACTCATTTTCCAGGTAGCTTGGATCTTTTTGTTCCACTATCTCAGCTGAGGCCTCCTTACTCACCTTTGTAGGGGAAGGGAGTGCTGGAGGAATTTGCGTTGGCAGCTAAATTCTTAGCCCAATAGTCAGCCATCACTTCTGCTAACAGACTACTGTCTTACAACTAGTCATGTAGCTCTGTCCAGTTCCAAACGGGCAGGGAAAAGTATATCCTCACATGTCCAAGAGAAGAGAGGACTGGATAGATGTAAGGAATAGAAGTCACTACCACAGTGATTCAACATTTCCTTTTTATCAGTGGTCTACACAAAATTGCCTTTATTATGTACCATCCATCTTTGATTTCTAATTGCATGGTATGGGATTTTTATTTTTGGGATCTGGTTAACTCTCTCTGCTTTGCACTTTTATCACTGTACTATAAACTAAAACCTTAACCATGTTGAGCATACATGGCTTATGAAGTATTTATATATACACATATATAAAATCTCAGTTAATATAACCATGCAATAATGTGTATAGAAAGGTATCATTGTTATCACTTTCACGAAATAGGTTTGGTGAAGCTTAGAAACTCTGTTTTCCTAGTCATGTGTTAAACATAAGACCAAAATCCAGATCTTCTGATTAAAGCCTTACATTCATTCTGCTCTATCATACTATTGTCTTTGTTGAAGCTCTTTGTGCTTATTCCGCTCAAACAAGTAAATTAAAATTGTCATACCCTTAAACATGGAAGATTCTGTATCTGGCTTACTGTAGAGTTTCAGACCCAGTTCAGAGTGTGTATGATGTCTGGGGTAGTTTTGTCATAAGATTCCTGCAGAAATCATTAATTTCCTTAAAAGTCTAAATTTCACTCTGCTCTTATTCCATTTTATTTGATTCTCACATGGGCTTTTAAAATTTCAGGTTACTGGCTATTAAATTAATTTTAATAAATATCTGTAATTAGAGAGTCTTGGCTAATGCAGTTCTGATATGTGCTATTTGTACTTCTTTACCAGTAAATTGAGATCTGTCAACTTTTATGGAGTCATTTTATAGTTACTCTTACCCCATAACGTTAATGCTTTTTACAGAAATGAAACTCCTTGGAATTAGGTGCCTGCCTTTTTACCAAAGGAGAAAATGAGGCCCACTAGGAGCCATACTGCAAATTCTTAGTTGCGGTCCAGTCATTCTTCTCATGGTTCTGATGGTGTACACAGCAACCTTCTGAACTGGTTTTCTTATATCAAAGTGAACTATGAATGCAACTGTGAAGTATGTAAATGTTTGTCCACAAAATCCAGTATATAACAAATGTAGCCTTCTTTCTCCTAAAGTAACTCAGGCTAAACATCTCTTGTAAATCCCTCTTTAATTGCATGGTGGAAACTTCCTGCAGTAAATTCTGTTGGTGTCTTTACCATATGCCCTTGGCATTCACCATTATTGCCAGCAGTGTCTTACTGCTAACTTCTATAACTCTCAGCTAGAGGGCTCTCTCTGACCCACATAGAGGGCAAAATGAAGCATAGCCCTCAGCCAATTATGAATGGGAATTGGAGAATAAATACTCTAGCTTCCTAGCTCCTTGGGTGGAAAACTCTGAGGTGTATTTCACAGTCTCTCCAAAGGTTGCTATTGAGATTGATTCAGAGTTGCCAAGGGCAGTAACTAGTTCACTGATACGTGTGTATTGTTTTCCTTCTCCTTCCTATTTTATTTACCCACTCCTTTATGAAGGCTTTCTGTAATCGTCACCCAAATAAGCCTCTTGCTTTCAGACCCTTTACTCAGGCTCTGTTTCAGAGGGACTAGTCTAAGACACTCACCCTCCCAACTGTCCCAGCACCACACCTAAATTCCGTGGGCTCTCAGGACATTGAGACTCAAGCAGAGGGGTGACTATTAAGTGATACGGAGTGTTAACTGGCTAGAATACTGAGTCCAGGAAACAAAGGGCAAAGGTAAAGAGGCCTGCTCTTCATTACTCCCAGAGAGTCTATGGGAGAATTTGTGCTTCCCATCCTCACACGTTCATACTGTCAGTCAAATGGTCCCAGTTCCTAGCTGGGGAGATACTTCTACCAGAGGACACAGTCAGTCTCACTCAATTTGAAGTGAAGGTTGCTGCATGATCACTCTGAGTTCCCTGAGCAAGTAGACAGGTAGGCACAGAAGGCAGTTATCACACTGGTAGGGGTAATTGTCCCCGATCATTATAAGAGGTAGGAATGCTGCTATATAATGGAGCAGGGAAGAACATGTTTGGTATTAAGGTAATTTGCTTAGGTGTCTCTTGGCAAACTGATGCTCAAGCTGACCTGTAAATGGGCAAGTACAGAAACAATGGCCTCATAAGTGCCCGAGATCTGGGTCATCCCATCAGGTAAATGACACAGAGAATCAGAAATAAGAGCTAAGAATAAGAGATACAACTGGTGGTGAAGGATAGTAATACCAACTATGATCAGGGTCTAACTGCAATGCTGAACACTGTAGTTTCACCTACAAATTCCCTCTTGTAAATTTCCCTAGGAATTATGACCACAGAATCTGGGAGCAACTGTGCTTGGGTTCTGGATAGGCTGAATGAAACGTGAGAAACAAGAGGATTTGGGCAGTCCAAGGCGTGGATTATGGTAGACATTGTTTTGGTGCCCCACCAGTCTCTCTTAGCAGGCTGCTGTGAATGTTGGCTGTTACAGCTCACTGATGACCTTCCACACAGTAGAAACTGCTTCTAGCTGATGGGTTCTTAAGTATCAGCCTCCATCCCAAGGAATGGCCATAACCACACAATCCCATGGTACACTTTTGCTTCACATGCTTGCTCAGTTTTTACTCTTCCTTTTATCCTGCTTCACTCCTCCCTTGTAGGATATTTCCTTAAGAGTACTCCCTCAATTTATGCATATTTAAACTTAAATCCTTGTCACAGAGTATGCCTCAAGGGAATGTGACCTAAGACACTTAATTACACAAGGTAGGTTATTTGCAGAGATTTACATAATTTTACAATGAAAAAGGCTTTTTTTCATTTTTCTCAAAAGACAGGACAAGTCAAAGTTATGATTTACAAGGGTTTCTTTCATATAATATTTTATTGGCAGTCATACTCAAGGTCATATTTAAAAGGTCTTATGAAGATCTGCCTGTCGAAGCGGCCCGGCCTCATCAGAGCTGGGTCTAGGATATCTGGTCGGTTGGTGCCCGCCAAGATGACCACATTGGTGGTTGTGTTGAATCCATCCATCTCCACACGCAGCTGGTTGAGCGTGTTCTCCTGCTCACTCTGCCCGCCAAAGTTGCCCCTGCCTCTCTTCCTTCCCACCGCATCTATTTCATCAATGAAGAGGATGCAAGGGGCGTCAGGTCCTACAGCCCGAGGAGAAGAAGACAGTGGCATACCACGAGGCAGGCCACGCAGTTGCCGTTGGTACCTGGAGCACGCAGACCCCCTCCTGAAGGTGTCCATCATCCCACGGGGCAAAGGGCTGGGCTATGCTCAGTACCTGCCCCGGGAGCAGTACCTCGACACCCGGGAGCAGCTCCTGAACCGCATGTGCATGACCTGGGCGGCCGCGTGTCCGAGGAGATCTTCTTTGGCAGGATCACTACTGGTGCCCAGGACGACGTGCGCAAAGTGACCCAGAGTGCCTATGCCCAGATTGTTCAGTTTGGCATGAACGAGAAGGTTGGGCAGATCTCCTTTGACCTCCCACGTCAGGGGGACATGGTGTTGGAGAAGCCTTACAGCGAGGCCACCGCCAGGCTCATAGATGATGAAGTACGAATCCTTATCAACGATGCTTACAAGAGGACAGTGGCCCTCCTCGCAGAGAAGAAAGCTGACGTGGAGAAGGTTGCTCTGCCGCTGTTAGAAAAAGAAGTATTAGACAAGAACGACATGGTGGAACTTCTGGGCCCCAGGCCATTTGCGGAGAAGTCTACGTATGAGGAGTTTGTGGAAGGTACCGGCAGCCTGGATGAGGACACCTCGCCCCCCGAGGGCCTGAAGGACTGGAACAGGGAACGCGAGGGCTCGGAGGAGCCCGCAGGCGAGAAGGTGACCAGCCAGGTCCAGGGTGCCGGCCCTGCGTAGCTCCTGGTGCTGCACCCTCAGAGCCGCCCCAAGGGCATGGCAGGAAGGGGTGCTTCGTCCTTGGCCTCGGAGGTCACAGGGGCAGGAGTGCGTCCCCAGCCTCCAGTCTCCTCCCTCACGTGGGGGTGTACTCACCATCACCCGCCCTCACTCCCACCTCCCTCAGAGTCTCCCTCTGTGATGGGCTGTGAAATTAAGAGTATTTCTACTTGATTTAAATTTTAAAGACGGAACCCAAGCTACATGCTGCTGTTCTGTGATGGAGTAGTTTTCTAGGAGAGCTGTGTAACATATTTAAAAATATGAATGTATTGTGTAAATACGGCTTCTTTATGTCACAAATAAAGTGTAAATGCTGCGTTTTTCCTTCTGAAAAAAAAAAAAATGGGTCTTATGTTCTTGGCTAGCTGTAGCCCTGGTATATAAAACCTTTAGCCAAAATAACTTACCAGAATAATTTCACATTTGAAAGGTGGGTTTGAACCCATCTTGGTTGGAGATAAGATCTGGAAATAGCCAGAGAGAGAAGACAAGATGGCAGAGTAGAAGACTTTGAGCTCACCTCCTCCCATGAAGAGACCTAGGTTTGATCCCTGGGTTGGGAAGAACCCCTGGAGAAGGGAAAGGCTACCCACTTCAGTATTCTGGCCTGGAGAATTCCATGGACTGTATAGTCCATGGGGTTGCAAAGAGTTGGACACGACTGAGTGCCTTTCACTTCACTTCACTTCCTCACATGAAGACACCAAAATCACAACTAACTGCTGAACAATTATCAATAGAAAGACTGGAACCTATCAAAAAAGATATTATACATCTGAAGACAAGAAACCACAACGAAATGAGGGGTGCACTTGCGATATAATCATAACCTCTGGGTGGGTGACTGGAAAGGCAATGAAAGCTGCTCAACTTTGTCCAACTCTTCATGACCCCATAGACTGTAGCCTGCCAGGCTCCTGAAGGTAATTATATCACAGATGTTCTCCCAGAGGTGTGAGAGTTCTCAGACCCTGTGTTAGGCTCTCTATCAGGGAGGAGGAGCCCCTAGAGCATTTGGCTTTGACTTCCAGGAGGTCTTGATCACAGAAGTTCCACAGTACTGAGGGAGACAGAGTCCACTCTTGCAGGATGCACATAAGGTCTTGTGTGTACCATGACCCATGGTGAGAGCAATGACTTTATAGGATCCTGGGCCACACCTACCTGCTAGTCTTGAGGGGTCTTCTGGGGAGGTGGGAGGTGGCTGTGAGTCCTTCTTGGGACATTGGCACCAAGACCTGGCCCCATCAAATAGCCTTTAGGCTCCAGGGCTGGTATGCTAGAGGCCAAACAAACAATAGTACAGTAATAGGTCTCATCTATCAACAGACATGGTGCCTAAAGGCTTCCTGAACCCAGAGCCACTTCTAGATACATCCCTTGACCTGGCCATGCCCACTAGAGGGCCAAGACACAACCCCACCACCAGTGGGCAGGTACCAGCTCCTCACACCAGGAAGCCTACACGAGCCTCTTGACCTACTTCACCCACCAGGGAGCAGACACCAGAAACATGCGATATAGAGTCCCACAGCCTGTGGAACTGAGTCTGCAAACACAGGTCAGAACCTACCCGGGGGCGAGTTGGTCCCTGGTCATTTGGCCTTAAGAGGGGAGTGTGCTGCTAGGATACATAGGATATCCCCTACAGAGGGCCACTTCTCCAAGGCTGGGATCTGTAACTAATCTTCCATACACATAAAAATAAAATAGAAGTATAACTAAATGAGGAGAAAGAGGAATATATTCCAAATGAAGGAACAAGAGCAAACCTCAGAACAGCTGAAGTGATGTGTAGATATGCAATCTACCTGAGAGAGAGTTAAGACTAGTAAAGATGGTCCAAGAACTTGGGAAAAGAATGGGTGCAGAGTGAAAAGTTACAAAAAGTTTAGTGTTAGAAAAAATAAAGAACAACCAACCAGGGTTGAAGAAAATAATAACTGAAATGAAAAATGCACTAGAAGGAATGAATAGCAGAATAAATAGCAGAATAATGGATAAGTGAACTGGAAGAAAGTAAGTGAGCTGCAGGACACAAGTGAGTGGCATCTAAAATGATGAAAAGGAAAAATCTACAATCAAGAATACTCTACCCAGCAAGACTCTTATTCTGATTCAATGGAGAAAGCAAAAGCTTTACAAACAAAATCAAAAAGAATTCAGCACCACTAAACCAGATTTACAACATATTGTAAAGGTACTTTTTTTGGGTGAAAGAGAAAATGCCACAGCTAGAAACAAGAAAATTATGAAAGAAAAAGCTCACTGGTAACGGTGAACATACAGTAAAGGTAGGAAGTCATCCACATGCAAATATTATATCTAAACCAATAATTGTAACAGAAGGAGAATACAAATGTGAGGTGTTTGAAATGCATTTGAAATTAAGAGATCAGAGACTTAAATCATGTATATATGTATAGACTACTATATCAAAACCTCACGGTAACCACAAACCCAAAATCTATATAGATATACACATAAGTAATAAAAGGGAATCAAAACACAGCACGAAAGAAAGTCATCAGATCATATGAGAACAAAAGAGGAAGCGTATAAAAATATCTACAAAAACAAATCCAAAACAATGAATAAAATAGCAATAAGAATATATGTGTACATCATTACTTTAAATGTTGGATTAAATGTTCCAACTGAAAGACATAGGCTACAGAATGGATACAGAAATAAGACTTGTATATATGCTGTCTATAAGAGATTCACTTTGGATCTAGAGATACATATGGACTGAAAGTGAGGGAATGGAAAAAGGTATTTTATGCAAATGAAAACCAAAATAGAGCTGGAGTCGCAAAACTCGTATCAGACAAAACAGGCTTTAAAATAGAAACAAAGAAAGGATCTACATAATGATCAAGGGTTCAGTCCAAAAGAATACATGACAGTTGTAAGTATATATGCACCTGACATAAGAGCACCTCAATATATAAGGAAAATGACACTTAAAAAGGAGGAATTGGCAGTAGCACAATAGTAGTGGGAGAACTTAGCACCCCAGTTATACCAATGGACAGATCATCCAGACAGAAAAATCAGTAAGGAAACATAGGCCCTGAATGATGCATTATGCCAGATGAACTTAATTGATATTTATTGAGCATTCTATCCAAAAGCAGCAGAGTACACATGCTTATGAAGTGCACATAGACTATTCTCCAGGATTGATCACATGCTGGGCCACAAAGTTAGCCTCTGTAAATTTAAGAAAATTGAAATCATATCAAGCATCTTTTCCAGCCACAATGGTATGAGATTAGAAATCGACTGTAAGAAATAAACGGAAAAAAAACACCACCACCACACACACACAGAGAGGCCAAACAATACGCTACTGAACAACCATTGGTTCACTGAAGAAATCAGAGAGGAAATTCAAAATACTCAGAGACAAATGAAAATGAAAGCACAATGATCCAAAACCTATGGGACATGGTAAAAGCAGTTCTAAGAGGGAAGGTTATAACAATACAATCTTACCTCAGGAAACAAGAGAAGTCTCAAACAACTTAACCTCACACCTAAAGCAGCTTCCCTTGTGGAATGGGCTTCCCCTGTGGCTCAGCTGGTAAAGAATCCACCTGCAATATGGGAGACCTCGGTTCAGTCCCTGGGTTGGGAAGGTCCCCTGGAGAAGGGAAGGGCTACCCACTCCAGCATTCTGGCCTGGAGAATTCCACGGACTGTGTAGCCCACAGGGTTGCAAAGAGTCGGACACGACTGAGCGGCCTTCACTTTCACAAGATCGAGAGAAGCGGCCTTCACTTTCACAGGATCGAGAGAAGCGGCCTTCACTTTCACAGGATCGAGAGAAGCGGCCTTCACTTTCACAGGATCGAGAGAAGCGGCCTTCACTTTCACAGGATCGAGAGAAGCGGCCTTCACTTTCACAGGATCGAGAGAAGCGGCCTTCACTTTCACAGGATCGAGAGAAGCGGCCTTCACTTTCACAGGATCGAGAGAAGCGGCCTTCACTTTCACAAGATCGAGAGACTTTCTCTTAAAGTTTCAGTTTTGAACTGCTGCCCAATCAAAACACTTGTTTCCACTTTTTACCATGAGATTTTGCTTCCTATTTTAAGTGTATTTCCTCTAAGTGACCATCTTTTTTTGGGTATTGATTATCCTCATATATGGAGAACCTCATAATTTCAGGAACAAAACTAGAGCTAAATATTAGCAATTGTAGGAAGATGACCAGGAAACTTTTGAGAATGAAAGGGTATACACTTAATAGTCATATTAGGATGGTAGGTATAACCTATAATTGCTCTGGGCAAACCAAGACACACAGTCATTCTCATTTCAGGGAGTTATATGTATTGAACAGTTTATAGAAGAAACATTTTCTGGTAGCATGAGCAATCTCCTACTGACTTCCCTGCCATTGGAAGTATTTGATCAGACTATCTGTCAGTAATGGCAGTGATGACATCTGAAGACCTCCTTTGTATCTCTAAGAGCATTGCTCTTTGAAACTTACCCGAAACCATTACAGGATCTTGCTTGGCTGGAGAGAACCTTTTCATCTAAAAAAAGGCATTGCATCTTTGTCTTTTGCCTGCCCTGTGAACTTACCTGACAGATGAGGTCTCTGGTGTTTGATAACCTTGTTGTGAGCTTTTTTCAAGTTTGATTACATTCTTTGCCTGAGTTCCTTTTCTTTCTTTGGCTAAAGCTTGAATTGCCCTAGCTGTCTATCCCATGTATCACCCAGTCCATGGAACTAGATTAACAAAGGTGAGAGTAGAAAGCGGGGGGCGGACTTTATGTTTGCGATTAAAGCTAAAATTTTAAACATCATGTTCTTTACAGACAAGAAGTGGGAGAGTTTACTAATTGGTTAGTGCTTTCAAAATTAGAGGGATGTTTCTTATTCTTTATAAAAAGAGAAAAACTAGATGAAAATTCTACCATTGTCTTCAATCTTTGGGGTA